ATGATGGCCAAGCTCGTGGCGATGGTGGGGAGGAGCGTGGCGGTTAAGTATCAGCTCCCAAACGAGGATTTGGACGCGCTCATCTCGGTGGTCTGCGAGAAGGATTTTGGGAGTATGATCGACGAGTATCTCCGGATGGAGGGCCGAGATAGCAGCGCTCGTCCCAGGCTCTTGTTCTTCATTCCGGCACCGACTCCACCGTCATCGTCCTCTCCCAGACTGAGCGAATCGAGATCTCTGGACCAGCAGTTCATCAAAGCGCTGAATGGAATGCCAGTGGCGAGCGGTGGAAACTCTGGTGCTGCTCCTTGGCCATCCAGAGCTCTCGACGAGGATCTCGAGTGTGGTCGTCCTGTGAAGCCGATCAAGATGCACAGGCAGCTCTCGGCCACGGACAGGATCGCGGAGACGGCTTCCGGCTCGCCTAGCAGCAGGAGAGTATCACCGCGGACGTCTCCGAGAGCTCCCGACAAGTGCCCCTCGGTGAGGAGCGCTAGATCATCACTCCTCCAGCAGCAGCTGCAGGACTCTCTCCACGAGCCGTGCAAGCAGCTAACAGTAGCGACGAGAGAGAATTCGGCTGGAAGGATCCCGCAGGAGATGATCGAGCCGGTGATGATACACCACTACTATCCAGGCACCGATCCTTGCTCAAGACAAGTCTTCAGCAATGAGCCACCGACACCTTCGGTATTTAAGTTTTTGCTTTATTGGGGTTCAAATTCAATTATGTCAATATTGATCTTTAAAAACTTTATTCCTTTACTTTTAGCACAATCCATCACTCTTAAGTTTAAACTTATAGAACATTTAATTTTTTCAGAACTTAAGTTCCTAGAATATTCAAAGTATATACTATGAACTTTATAGATTTGCAAGCAAGAACGTGCTATTCACTGATTCTTTTACCATTCTTCATTTGCCAGGTGGTATCAACCAACCACTCTTTGAAAATCACCACCACCACCAATTACTCCACACAATAGTTACACTGCACCTTCTATCTTTTGCTTTTTATTTGGGGGTAAAAACACACATACAAATAAGCAAGTTTTACCTTTGTAAGTGTTAAAATATGAAGTCTTGTTTATGAGGAAGGACAGCGAGTCTTAATAAACCATTCTCTGAAGCCAAGGTTTGGAGCCTCTCCAAACCTGCATCCTCAATTTCGAGTAGATCAGTAGAATCTAACGCATCAGTAATACCACCTTGAGTGCCAGGACGCCTTTTTTACTTCATTTGAACACACAAGGGATGAGCCGACGCTTCCGCCCAGAGTGATTGCCCAAGAAAAAGATGGCATCTGGTCGGAAGCCAGTCCAATGAGCATTACCTGCCAACCACAGTCAGAAAAGTGTTCACAAACCAGTGAATATTACCTGTCAGCAGAACAGTAGGAAAACTGCCATGCCATCCACATCGTTAATATATTTTTTCAAAGTGTAGCACCTGCTGTCGTGAGCATGCTTTTCCATGCAGATTGTCACCTCCATGTCTACACCAGTGCATGGTCTCTCAAGCTTTGCAGTCTCAAAGTACATGCCGGGAACTTTGAAAGTGTCGTTGCATAACAGCACCTTGTTCTTTTGGTAAAGGAACTGCCTCACAAACTCTGCTGGCACCTTCCCATCTAGTTCCTGAGCAGCCAGCTTCTCAAACCCCAGATCGATCTTTGAGTGATCACCTTGTCCTTTGCTGATAAGCATGTCTTGGCAGGAGTCCAAGTCAGTCATAAAATGGTGATAGAGCACTCTGTGTACAGCAGGTTAAGCCTTATCCAGCATTCTTTGCGGCCTGAGAAGAAGTCCTCAATGTTCTTGAGTACCAATTGGCTTTTATTCGTCAACCAGGCTAAACCATATTCCACCAACTGAAGCCTTGATGTTGATGAGAGTCGAAGAAGATCCAAAAATTTCGTTGTAAAGTATCACCTTCTGCGATCTCTCTCGAGAAAATGCCGCACATCAGTCCAAACGGTCCTGTCCATGTAGACCCCGCCTTTTGGTGAGCTGATAACACTGATGCCTGCTCCGAGAGAATCCGTAGTGCAAATTCTGTCGAAGAACTCCACAAAAAAGCCTGTTGCCTCCTCCATGGGTAGCTTTCTTGCAACAAAGTACTCTATCGCAGTCACAAAAACCCTGTACCTCCCTCTGTAGAGCCTGTTGAGCCTTGGGAAATCAATGGAGTCTACACTTGTAGTTGTAAGTTGACGTTTGCACTATGAGATCTGAGTATGTTGTGATCTTGCTCTCATGCTGTTGGATTGTTGGTATGTCATAGTGTGCCATTTGTGCTCACTTGCTGGCATAATAGCCATGATTTTGGTTTTTTGTTCTAAACCTTTCTTTTGTTTTGCGGATGTATATTGTTCCCTCTGGGTAGGTCTTTAACTGGTTTCTTGCTATGGCATAAGGTTATGGTGTTTCAAAATGTCATCCTAAAGTCCCAGATTGTGGAAAGGAAGAGGAGTAGTCCAATTATGTGGTGACCAATGATGCAGTCACACAAGAAGGAAGTCCTAGAGGTCATTGGGATATAATGGTCAGGCCTATTGGCCTTAACCCAGTGGCAGTGTTGGTGAACATGACCGTAGGCAAAAAAGGATTTGGTGGGGATTGAAAAAGGGATATTGGGAAAGGCTATTTGTAAGCGACTAAATTTTCCATTCTACTTTAGTCACTTAACCACACCTCCGACCACTTGGAGGAGTCTCATTCACAACCTCCATAAGCTTAACTCAGGACTTGGGGCTTGCTAGCCCCGAGAATGGCATCCATGCCACTCAACCTTAGCACTTGGTCCAAGTGCTCCACGTGTCTGATCCCATGATCAACACCCCAAGGTACCACTGACATATCGGCCCGTTACGCTAAGGCCATGCCCATTTACCTTGGTCACACTGGTGGTCCAACACCACCTACATTCCAATCCCGTCTCTCAAAGACTGGGTCATCCATCCATGAGTGGTCATCCCAGATCCACTCCATAACATCCTTAGGATGCCTACAGACATGGGGAATAGCCTTCCCCAATATCTCTGTTCCGGTCCCCACCAAGTCCCTTTCTGTCCTTGGCTGTGTTCGCCAACACTGCCACTGGATCGAGGCCCACCGGCCCGACCATTAAGTCCCACTATCCTCTAGGACTTCCTCACTGTGTGACTGTGTCCTTGGTCACCACACCGGAGGGCTACCCCTCTTCCTTTCCACAGTCTGGGACTTTGGGACACCATTTCGGAACACCGTGGCCTTACGCAAGCCTCATGGGTACTCTCCCCGCCTTTCGTCTTTAGGTGCTCTAGCCATGGGCTTAGAGCGAGGTTCCGTTGAGCCACACCAGGTATCCAAGTAGGTAGTGCCACCCACACTTGGACTGGGAGCATCGGCCAGTCGATCTTCCGGGGGAACTAGAGCCGGCTCTTGAACACTTCACCAAGCTACCCCGCTTGTCGGTCCGTGTTCACTCTAGTCTTGGACTTCCCAGTGGGCAGCTCATCACCCAACACTGGGTCCGGCCTTCCTGGGCCAAACTGGCCTTTCCTGGCCAAACTGGCTCCACTGCAGTCCTCCCCCTACTATACTTTTGGAGCTCACCAAACCCCCCAGGGTCTGGGAGACGAACGCTTTGGGCTTTCACCCTCTCAGGCTCCGGACTCGGACTCGGACTCGGACTCGAACTCAGACTCGGACTCGGACTCGGACTCGGACTCGGACTCGGACTCGGGCTCGGGCTCGGTCTCGGCCTCGGCCTCGGTCTCGGTCTCGGTCCCGATCTCGGTCTCGGTCTCGGTCTCGATCTCGGTCCCGGTCTTGGTTTCGACTTCGGACTCCATCTCGGACTCCATCTCGGACTCCATCTCGGACTCCATCTCGGACTCCATCTCGGACTCCATCTCGGGTCCATCTCGGGTCCATCTCGGACTCCATCTCGGACTCCATTTCGGGTCCATCTCGGGTCCACCTCGGACTCCATCTCGGACTCCATCTCGGGTCCATCTCGGACTCCATCTCGGACTCCATTTCGGGTCCATCTCGGGTCCACCTCGGACTCCATCTTGGACTCCATCTCGGGTCCATCTCGGACTCCACTTCGGACTCCAACTCGGGTCCATCTCGGGTCCACCTCGGACTCCACTTCGGACTCCTTCTCGGACTCCATCTCGGACTCCACTTCGGACTCCAACTCGGGTCCATCTCGGACTCCACTTCGGACTCCAACTCGGGTCCATCTCGGACTCCACTTCGGACTCCAACTCGAGTCCATCTCGGACTCTCCCACGTGTCATGTGTTGGCCCTTTTGGGTCCCTTTTTGGAGCCTCGCCTTTTGCTCGCTTCGTGCTCGTTCCTCGAGCACTTCGTTGGGAGTTCCACTCCCGCTCTTGACTTTTCAAGTCGGAGCTTTTGGTCCAAACGTGTTACGCTCGTTTGGCTCTCGCTTCGGCCACTACCATGTGGCGCCCTTCCGGCTCCACTTTGGGGCCTAGGGATTTTGTGTCTCACACTATTCCCCATGTTTGCAAGTATCGTAAGGATGCTAAGGAGTGGATTTGGGATGATCACTCATGGATGGATGGCTTAGAGAGATGAGACTGTGATATAGATGGTGTTGGACCACTAATGTAATAAAGGTGAATGGGCATGGCCTTGGTGTAGTGGGTTGATATGTTGGTGGTACCTTTAGGTGTTGGTTATGGGATCGGACAAGTGAAGCACTTGGACCAAGTGCAAAGGTTAAATGGCATAGATGCCATTCTCGGGGCTAAAAAATGCTCAAGGCTAGAATAGAAGTTATGGAGGTTGAGAGTGAGATTGTTGTGAATGTGACTTTGGGTATCGAAAGTTACTTGTCGGCTAGTCCTTACAGACACTCTTACCTTACTGCCACGATGGCAGGAAGTCGGTATTGCTAGACCTTTTATTAACCCCTCTTGTTCAAGTGTTAGTAAACTGGACTTTGCATCTGTACTTGGCCGGATGAGCATAAGGACAGAATTCCTAAGTGTCTATTTAGCCAAACATACTTGGTCTGGCTTTTTAGTTCTCTTTTGCTCTGTCTTGCACTGGCTTGACAAGAACCCTCGCGTATTGAAATTAGTCCCTCAATATCGCTGGATGATAGCTTACCGTGTTTGCCAAACACCCTCGCTATCATGTCCTTTGTGTTAGTCTCATTTCGGTCCCAAATACTATTTATAGAAAGTGTCCAGATTTGCTCATTTGGCATATCTACAGAATGTAGAGATCAGCTTGAACACAATGGTGTTCGTCCCATGTCCAAATTCGCAATCTAGGGACATTCCATATTTAGTAAATTTCAAATTTGTCCCAGAGACTAACTCTTGATACTAAGGGAGGCTTGGGGTGAAAGCCCAAAGTGGGTGTTCCTTAAGGGGGGGGGGGGGTATAGGGGGTTCTAAATGTATAGTAGGGATAGTGGGTAGGTCGGGCATAGCCGACCAACCTGAGGCATAGTCTAGCTCCCGCTTGCGTGCCTATCTTTGTTCTGCGTCCGGCTTGGGTCTAAGCCCAAGTTCCATTCCATGCTAGCTGGTGGAGTATCCATGTCCTCACATTAGACCACCGGTATACCGAAATAGTGCCAGACTCCGTTTGGCTCCGTTTTGCATGCTGGTCCTAGAATTAGGATGCTGGTTACTCTAGGACTGTTCCAAGTTGCTCCGGGCTCCTGTCCCTTCGCTCCTTGGGTTATATGCTTGGGAGTTGCTTCGTGGTTTGGTTTCACTCCTTGGTTCCATGCTTGGGAGTTTGGCACCGTTCCTTCATTCAGTGGCCTAAGGCCCTGAACCTCGGGTTCCACACCACGTTCCTTTGGACATGTGGCATGTGACATGTGGCATCTGTCACATGGCACAAAGAAGGTTTAGGTTCCACTTCATGGTGTTATCCTATGGTAAATCACCATAGGATAAAGGGTCAAAACCACGTGCGCTATAGAGATTCTTCTATGTATTCAAAATTGTGG